CCAGTCTCGAACTAAAGTTTATACACTACCATTCTACCTCGAGCTCAGCTAATCGCTTTGCCTTGTTCCACATCGACAACATTGACATTCGGTGAACTCTGATAGTCTAACCTGAAGTGCGAGGTTCTATCGGTTTATCATCACATGTTAATAGTCATGTGGAGTTTGGGCTTAACAATTAGTTTGAGACTTCTAGCTTCCCTTCTTTGAGCCTAAAGGCTAAAAGAACTGAACACTTCTCACCAACCTCTTTCCGATCAACAACAAGACATTATATGTCTTCCATCAACAGCTCTATCAACTCTGAAGCCCCCTCTTCCTCCATTGAATTGCTGACTGTTCTTCTTGAAACATTAACCACCAGGATAATCCAGGATTATCAAGCCAGGGATGACACCATCCATCAACTCATCAATGGCCTCTCTACCGAGGCCCGAATCACTGAATACAAATCCAGAGAAGGGTCTGAAGGCATGAGCCAATCAGATCCTTGCCAAGAGGAGGAGGAATCCCTTCTCAGTTCCCCACCAGTCCCAACCTCCAACCCCAACTCCACCGACACATTGGTGGAAGAAGAGGAGGTCAAGCATGGCCAGCAGTGGAGAGACGAGCTCGATGAGGAGCACCAACAGCTGGCTGGACTCAGCCGACCAGCAGGATGGGGATCTCCCCCATCCAGCCGACCACCCTAGGGCCGAAGATGGCCCTCAGGAACAGAATGGGATGAAAATCCCGAAGATGATCCCTATGCCCCAGATCGCTGGGACGAAGTCAGGGACAATCAGGATCGAAGTACCGATCCTCGATCGACAGTCACCAAAGGAGGCAGCAGGTCTGCTGGAGGATGAAAGTGGTCCCCAGGGACCGAATGGAATGAGGATCCCAAGGACGACCCCTATGAGGTCGACCGGTGGGATAGCACCACCAATGAAGGAGAAAGCAGTCCAGATGGATCCCTATCCAGCAAGTCAGGAAGCAGTGGCTCCCTGGCAGATGATGAGTTCCCCGACTGGACCATCAAAGCAAGAATGGCAACTCAGCCATTACCCCGGATCAGCAATCGAACCCTTCGAGGGTTCTTGCACAGGAAGATCACCAGTCTCTTTCTCAACTGGGACTTCTTTGAGGAGTTCCGACAATATGCTGACTAGTTGGCAGGAGAAAGGGAGTGGTGGCACAATGCTACAACCAAGGGGGTATGGGACCTACCAGCTTGGGGGGTCCCATACTGGAAGGACTCCAATGACCCCCAAGGCCTATATTGGCCTGAGGGAAGAAGGAGAAATAGGAGAGGAGGGAAGTCTCTCCTCCGAAAGTAATCAGTGGACCCGGCTGGTGGATGAGGAGTGGGAAGACTGGAAGAGCAGGGAAGAAAGGCATCCAGGGAGTCGGCAATACCCTTGACCGATCTCCAGGAGTGATGGAATGCTGTTAGCACCAGGGTTACCCCTAGTGCTTCCCAAAGACAAATACTTGCCATTCCTGGTAAGTACTCCACCACCCTGGAGGAGAAGCCCTCTCGGGAGCAGTATGGCATCCTGGCTTTCCGAGAAAAAGCCGAAATATCCAAACCCCTGGAGGATCCCTGGCTTCCTACCAAAGCCGATGGGAGGACAGCCACCACCCGATGAAGCAACTGGGTCAGCATTGCCCGACGAGAAGAAGGATGACCCCGAGGCAGTAGCTCAGGGGTGGACCATCAAAGAGGGGTGGATTGTACAGAAGGAAGGACCTCCAACACCGAGAAGCCCTGTTGCTGATGATGGGTCTCTATATTCCTTTCCGGGGCCCCCAATGGACTGGGTTGGCCCTCCTGGTGGGGAACCCCCAAATCCGATATCGCCTCTCGATCTGAAGGTGCATATACTAAACGTCAAACCGACACTCGGGTGGGACCCCCTTCCCTTCAAGGGGGCCTCAGATGATATTGACCGCTTCCTTTTAGACTGCGACCAATATTTCCAAGTCTTTGCCTCCTACTTTCTCCTCGACGTATACAAGGTCAACTATGCCACTACATACTTTAAAGACAAAGCAAAAGTATGGTGGGTATTACTGGCACCTACTTTCTGGTCAACCACAAGGCAATACCACTGACTTTCCTCGTGGCCAGTACTAAAGCAGATGATCCGTGACAAGTTCATGGATCCAGCTGTCCAAGAAGTACACAAAGCCAAGATGAAGGAATACAAGATGGGCGATAAGATGGCACTGGACTATTTCGACGAGTTGGAGCGACTCGGAAAACTTGCCGGAATCCAGGAGGACATAGCCGACTTGGGATGCATAGTTGAGTATATGAAATTGGGGCTGCCACCTCATTACCTAAAGACCATTTCAGACCTCGGCCATAGTGTTCCAATTGGCTATGACGATTGGAAGTCCTGAATCGTCCTAATGTGGCAAGAACGGCAATGATAGAAGGCCGAAGCAGCAAACCTGTGGGGACAGCACAGGTACCAGGGACAGGGCTTGAAGCCCTCCACCTCCCACATGACCACGTCTGCCAGGCCTGGTGGCTCAGCCCCAACTTCCTAGAACAACGGGAAGCAAACCGGTAAGGGCCCAAGTACTGAAAAGGGTAAGCAGATTGATGTGGATTGCCTCAAGAAGGAGACAAAGTGTTTCAACTGTGGCCAACCAGGCCACATGGCACGGAACTGCCCAGAGAAGAAGAATAAATGCACATGAGAGGATATCAGGGCACAGATTGCCGAATTAATGAAGGAGGATGAAGACCTCAGGCAGAACGACCAGCCCGAGGAGGGAAAAGGTGAGGCCGAGCACCTGCAGGACAGACTGACATTTTTTCCCCTTCTTTAGCTTCTACCAACATGCCTAAATTATGCGTGCATTCGAATATACCCGACTCCATTACTTGGAAACCAGAATTGCCTAAGGAACTGACTTCTATGACTCAAGCGCCGATGAAAGGCCGAAGAGGGGCAGAGAGCCCCAAAGGTACATCTTCATCTTCCATTCATCAAACTAAAAAATTAAAACAGACTCAACTGCCTTCGGGCTGAACAGGGGTAGAGAACCCCACAGCTTGGCTGAAGCCATTCGATACCAAATGGACTTGGCAAGCGATCAAAGATGCCAGAGACGAGACAGCAGCAAAAGCCGTACTCAAAAATTGGGTACACAAGACCCACATTGAGGAAGTGATCGACGACATGATCACAGGAATGCAAAAAGTGGAGAGATGCCGAGCTCTCGAATGGCTCGATGAACTATGAGGACCACAAAAGTTCATTCATCGAACCAAAGCCTCGGGACAGGACCTAGTAATGAAGGCACAGATCAAGACATTAACATCTCGATCTATCCATACAGTCACTGCCCTCATCGACAGTGGTTGCATGGGAAGTTCTATTAATCAAGCCTTCGTCACCAAGCACCGATTACCCACATGGGTGACAGCGGCCCCAATACCTGTCTATAACGCAGATGGAACAAAGAACCAAGCAGGATCAATCACCGAATACGTAGAGCTTAGGCTCACTATCGGTGATCACTCGGAACAGATCGACCTCACAGTAACGGATCTAGGAACCAAAGAAGTATTCCTTGGTCATGACTGGTTGATCAGACACAATCCGCTAATCAATTGGAAAACCGGATGGATCATCTTCGCCCGGTGTCATTGCCGAAAGATTCCTTTCGAACTCCCAGATGAAGATCCTGAGGACTGATGGGATGAAGAGTTAGAAGACGGTGAAACCATCCTTGCCATAGACCTTCAAAGGGCCATTAACATTCATGCGATGCACTATGCTAATGACCTAGTGGCAAAGGCTAATGCCGAAAAGGGGGAGAAGACGTTCGATCAAATGGTACCTGAATGGGTGTGCGATTATTGGGATTTATTCGAAAAAGAAAGTTTCGACGAACTACCCGATGTAAAACCTTGGGACCATGCCATCGAACTCATTCCCAATGCCAACACCAACCTGGACTGCAAGTGCTATCCACTAGGCAACAACAAACAACAAGAGCTAGATAAGTTCCTTGAAGAAAACTTATCTAGTGGATGGATCCGGCCATCAAAGTCACCAATGGCATCACCCTTCTTTTTCATCAAAAAGAAGGATGGAAAACTCCATCCTGTCCAAGATTATCAGAAGCTCAATGAGATAACGATTAAAAACCATTATCCGCTTCCTTTAATCTCAGAGTTGATGGACAAACTCTGAGGAGCAAAGTACTACACCAAACTGGATGTTCAGTGGGGGTACAACAACGTACGTATCAAAGAAGGCGATGAATGGAAAGCTGCTTTTCGAACAAACCGCAGTTTGTTCGAGCCGACAGTAATGTTCTTCAGCCTGACTAACTCACCAGCGACCTTCCAGTGGATGATGAATGACATCTTCAAAGATCTCATTGCCACAGGGAAGGTCACGATCTATCTAGACGATATACTAATCATGTCCAAAACCAAAGAGGAACACAGGCAATTGGTACGCCAAGTTCTATCCTTGATGAGGAAGCATCGACTATTCCTCAAGGCTGAAAAATGTGAGTTCGAGGTATTAGAGACTGAATACCTCAGAGTCATTATTAGCGAGGGAAGCATTCACATGGACTCCATCAAAGTGGCAGGGGTAACGGAATGGCCGGAACCGACAAAGAAGAAGGAGTTACAATCATTTCTCGGATTCACCAACTTCTACCACCGCTTCATTCAGGACTATAGCAAAATAGTCTGACCAATGACACAATTGACTGGAAATTCCCCATGGACCTGGGGAATTTCCCAACAGGAGGCATTTGACAATCTTAAACGCCGACTAGCCAAAGACGTCATTCTGGCTATACCAAGCCAGGATGGGAAGTTCCGGGTGGAAGCCGACTCGAGCAAGGGCATGGTTGGGACCATACTTTCACAGGAACAAGATGGCAAATGGCGACCAGTCGCCTTTATGTCAAAGGCGCTCACAGTAACGGAGCGCAACTATGAAATTTATGACAAGGAACTCCTCACCATAATGCTCACTCTTGCCGAGTGGCAGCATTATCTCATTGGAGCAGTCCAAACTTTCGAAATCTGAACTGATCACCAGAACCTCCGGTATTTCTGACAACCTCAAAAGCTTAATCGCAGACAAGCCTGATGGGTCACGGAACTATCCCAATACGAATACATGCTACACCACAAGGCAGGTGTCGCAAACAAGAAGGCCGACTTCCTCAGCTGCAGGGTGGACCATGACCAAGGAGGAGACAACAACAAGGAGGTTGTTTTACTATGACTGGAACACTTCCAGGCCATGATTATGCCCACGGAAGAAGAGATGCACGAATGCATCAAGAGCGCGACCCGAGATCCACACAAGTGGGATCAATGAATAGCCCCATCACTCAATCATGAGCGTAGGCTAAAGAAAGAAGGGGGATTGATCTGCTATGATGAGCAGATCTACATCCCCAGGAATCAGAAGCTGAGGGGTGATATCATCGCCATCAGTCATGATCATGCGACTGCCGGACACCCTGGGATCGCTAAGACCAAGGAACTGGTCTTGAGAGAATATTGGTGGCCCAAGATGGACCATGATATCACCCAATATATCAAGGCTTGTGAGGTTTGCCAACAAGGCAAGACTTCAACACAACCCAGAGCGGCCCCACTCCACCCGAATGAGGTCCCTTTGTCACCATGGACCCACATCTTGGTGGATATGATAACCGGACTTCCCGAAAGTGACGGCTATGATGCCATCATCGTCATAGTCGATTGCTTCTCAAAGGCGATCATTCTGATCGCCTGTTCCACAGAATTGACATCCGAGAGATGGGCAAAGATACTACAAGATGAGGTTTATGCAAAGTATGGCATGCCTCAAGTAGTGATTTCAGACAGAGGACCACAATTCATCTCTAAATTCTTGGACGATTTGTACCGACTCCTCAACATCAAAAGGAATGCCTCAACAGCATATCACCCACAAACGGATGGCCAAATGGAATGGGCCAACCAAGAGATTGAAAAGTACCTATGGCTTTTCATCAGTTATCGGCAGGATGACTGGATGGAATGGCTAGCACTAGCAGCATTCTAGCATAACAACAGAATTCACTCTGCAATGGGTAAAACACCCTTCTTTGTGAATTACAGGTGGAATCCACCTGTGGCGGAAACAGGACA